CTGAATTGAATTGGTAAGTAGAATTTGATTTGGCTGAGAGGGGCAATGGTTCTTTCACCGATGTCGTTGGTATCCGGGTGGTAATGAAGACAATGACTGGGTCAGTGGCGTAATAGACCCGCTTGACGCCAGAGTTCAACTGCTTGCTGACGAGTTCACTCACATCATCATTTTTTCATACTAACTTCAGAAACGTTTTCCTTTTGGAGATAGTTATTGGGTTGTCTACTTTTGGTGTTACTTTACTGTGCTTAGTGATGAATGCACCTGGATATCCGTCTGCTTGTAGTGCTTCTTATAGGGTACAGTTTTCATCGTTTAAGTAGTCCTCTGTGCATATTTCACGAGCTCGATGAAATAACAAACACAAAATTACTGAAGTCTGCCGAGGTCCGAGCCATTCATACTCTCAAACCCGATTTATGCAAACAACGTGAATGGTTAGTCACATTAGCTTTGCCCTGGTGATTGACCCCCTGCCCTCTTTTGCCCCTTGTTGGGTTTTTGTTTTGTGTTGTCCGTTGTGATTAGCGATCTTGTCTTTGTCTCAAATCTGTTATCTCAATGACTATAAAACGTCCCTTTGACTGCAGTATGCTCGCGTACAGCTGGAGCTTTGGTTTTCCCGTCACACACAACCTCCGGATATACTTTTGTATCAATTACGGTGACCTCAATGATAACCTGCAACTGCTCAGTTTAATTTCCTTACGAGTATCCGTATCAACAAACCCTCCTTACGTGCTTTTTCTCGTTATGTGAGAAATAAGGTCAAAAGTATCTCCGAAGATTCACATGGCAAACGGAAAAGGTATCGCGCTGGCTGGAAGGTTGCACTTGGGTACCGAAACCTGAAGATCATTGATTTTCCGATCATTTCGTCATTGAATATCTGCTCAATTCTTTCTAAACTATCGAACATCGGTCTTGTGATTCGCTACGGTGAGTACGTTAAACGTTGTTTGCTACTTTTCCAAGAATCTTGGTTATAAGAATCCGCCGAGGACGAATTGGTTCGGATCGAAGGTTTCCAATTATTTTGAGCAGATGGAACTCCAGGACGGAAAACTAAAGGTGGAGGCGTCATCACTTATCTGCGTCGGTCGTGCTGTAACTCCACCAAATTCATATTTACTCACTGCACACAAAAAGCTTTTGTATTGCTGAAGAATGTAAACCAAGTTTTCTACTGCGTCATTCTTCGATCATCTTTTCAAACCCATACACACTCTTGAATTTTACTCCTAGTTAGTTGTCTACCGTCTTGGATGTATTCTATCCAATCATGTTGGAGAAATTTGTCATATCTGTATTCATCGCTGATGGCGATTTCACCAGATCTGATGTGAGTTTTTACACACAATTATGTCCCTTGAGAACATCGTTACTTTTCCACTAGAAATGATGCCTCCTTGGACGACAATTAGTTAACAAACCATCTTTTTTCCGTGCAATCAAACATGCACCAGTAGGCAATTTCGATCACTGTCTGATTAAAGTTTTACCTACAATATGTGGTAAATGCAAGCAACAAATCCTGATGAAGAACGATGCATATAAAATACATTTACGACAAAATCACCTGACCAATTTGATGGAATTAGAATCAATGGTTGGCGGAACGGACTTACAACTGTTCGATTCTGATATTTCAGTCTTCTGTGAGAATCTTACCAATTATCCAAATATTGTTACGATATGTGCTGCCCTCAAGAAAGGATTCACCTAAAACCTAACCGCTTCATCTCCGATAAACTGAAATGGTTACGCAGGCTGAAATAAAGGGCGTATCGCTCAAGAGATAAACTGACGGTCAAATCTGTCAACTTTCACATCAGAAGCGAGAGAGCCCATCTCAATCCATTGTATGCTGACACCGTGCTAGGTGATAAATCCTGCCGTCAGCTTTGGAACGGGCTAAAGTTGCCCTGTGGTCGTTCAACTTTACTTACCGCAGTCTCATATGATATCAATGAGCTCAATAAATCTTGTGCTTTAGTGAAGAACATTGTGCAAGCGTTGCCGAGTCCAAACACAACGTCACTTGATTTCCACCTTCCTGTATCTGTCACAATACAGCAAGTTTTAGAGGAGTTAAATGACGTCAGTGGAAGAAATCCGATGGTCCTGGTGGGTTATCCACAGTGATCCTTAAACCATGTGCAAAACACCTCGCACAAACCGTTTCACTTATCTTTAATACATGTCTGTCAGAAGGAAGACTTGTTAACATATGACGTGATATGTGCATCACTCTAGTACCTAAGAATGAAAAGGGTCAGTTTCGGTCTATCGCTTCATCTTCAGTATTACTTAGGACTATTGAGCGTATTATTATCAAGCACCTATCCTCTAATCTTGATTTGCGTGATTCCAATCAGTTTGCTTATTGTAAGCGTCGGTCTACTTTAGACGCGGCTGCTTGTCTTATACATTCTAAATTTATCCACTATAGACCAAAAACACAAAATTATTCACGTTTGTTTCTTGGATTACACAAACGCATTCAAATCTGTCGACAGAAACATCCTATTG